AAATATTAATTTTTAACCTTTAACATTACTGTTAAAATATTTATTTATTATATTAACGTTATCATATAATTAATTTTTAATTAAAAATTAAAAATTAATATTTTTATTTGTACATTTTCTTTCAAATCAGACCACGAACTTTGTTTTCACACATACTCTATATATCTCTCCACGTTAATAGATAAAAATGCTACTAGCATATTTTCTCAACCTAGCGGGGGGTAAAAAGAGAGAGCTAGTGTAAACGTATGATGAACTTGTATAATCTCTCTCGTAAAAAACAAAATAATTAGTATATTTTCTTATTCAATATATTTAATAATATTTTTTAATTTAATCATTAAAATTTATTTTTTAAAATATTTTTACCTTAAATTTAAATTTAAAAATATTAATTTCTTATTAAATGAAATAAAATATGTTATACAGTGTGTTAAAGTAAACAGTGTATCAATCTTTTTCCATCATGTAAATATAGGTAAAAAATATAATATATTTTTCAAAGTAATTTATATAAAAAAATATAAAAATTAATACTTATTTTAATATTATTAATATAAAAACAACTTTATTTATTAATTGATTAATTTAAAATTAATATTTATTTTAATATAAATTAATTATAAAAAATATATTAATTGCATCTTTTAATTTATACTCTAGAAATATAAATTAAAAAACTCTCTATATAATATAATGCTTTTGTTTTATAATAAATCTCTTAGTAAAAAAGTTAAGTTTTAATTTTTTTTTTTTTTTGAACAAGGGGGATGTGAGGAAAAGAGAGGGAGTTGCACGCTGCAGTTTTAAACTTTGACTAAAATTATAGGTTTAAATGCACCTAATCAAAGCAGCCGAAGCTGCGAGTGCTAATATTTAAAGATTTTAAAATAAATAAAAAATATCAAAATATATATTAGTTTTTATTATATTATATATTACATAATATAAAATAAACAAAAATAATATAATGCTTTCTACCGACAACAGCTATTACGATGATAATTTTTTTTTGAACAAATTCGTAAAGGGTCGGATTCGAACTATTGCCCTGAAAATAGAAGAATACACTTATACGTGATCTGACATCTAACGTCGTTAAGGCCAAAGTTCAAGTGCATTATGATGACAAACTTTAATCATTTCATTTTGACCATTTTTTACATCTAATTTTCCAAAAAAAGAATTATCTATTTTATGTTGTTATAACACAAAATAAGGAATATTAATTATATAATAATTATTAATTTTTATTTTAAAAAAGATAAATTTAATTTTTTATTTATTAAATTTAATTTAAAATTTAAAAATTATTTTTAATATAAAATTTTTTTTAATTTTTTTATCATTACTTAAGAATGATTTTTTAACGCTATACTCTTATAGGAAAAAATAAACCTTCAAGAGAAGATGCAATCTGGTGAGCACATGTGACCGACCCTGCGGACATGGTGCATTTGATGCCAGCATTATTATTATTAATTTTTTTTTGGAGGAAATTAGAGCATGTGTACAAAGAAAATGAAACGAGGACCATAGAAATGATAGCAGAAGCTTGGGAGGCTGTTCTACACTGAATAATTCCGCCAATTTTTGTCGTTGATTTAGGTTCTATTTTCTACATTACCAAGACTAGAAGCAGTGAAATGTTATAACTTTTGGGCTTATGAGGTTCCATTTCTTCTACATTCGGAGTTCCCTTCCTTTTCTCCATTTTTTTAATACAATCTCTTTGTCATTTGGTGAAGATAATGTATTGCTAATTGTTATTGTTATTGCTTTTGTATCCCTTGAAGATGAAACGCGGTAGGACAATTATAATGCTAAATTGTTAACCGGTTCTTTTAAGTTCGTTATAAAAAAAATTTATTCACTTTTTATTATTTTATTTTTATTGATAATCTCATAAAAAATAATCTTTTTAATTTATATTTTAAAGTATAATAAATATATATTTTTAT